GATTATGGAAAATGTAAATTCATGTTTTAAAAATGTAAATATTTATTCTGACAAACTTCATTTCAACACTTAATATGTTTTATGGTATGTCAGTTTGATGATAAATTTCCAACATCTTTATGTACTTTAATACTGGGCAGAGGGGCCAGCAGGTGGCATACTGGTTAAGGCGCTAGACTCCCACATGGACGCGCCCGGTGTGAGTTTTAAGCCACCGGGTCCGGGACACGAACCGCGGTCGACTACGTGGGAGTCCAGCGACATAGCCATTACGCTAACTGCTGGCTCCATAATTCATGTTTTAAAAAAGTAAATATTTATTCTGACAAACTTCATTTCAACACTTAATATGTTTTATAGTATGTCAGTTTGATGATAAATTTCCAACATCTTTATGTACTTTAATACTGGGCAGAGGGGCCAGCAGGTGGCATACTGGTTAAGGCGCTAGACTCCCACATGGCTGACCGTGGTTGCACACACCCTATAGCAAAAACCTCTCTAAAAAAAAGTTTTGTATTTAATATCTTGTATTAAAGAACATTACCATTTTATCTCTAAAAATTGTTCATTTTTTATATTTATCATTGTGAATTCTTGGTTTATTTCCTTTGCTCACTTTTATAATGGGCTTTCAATCTGTCAGGTGTCTTGAGACTTTAAGAATATTTTTCTTGGAGTCAGGAGATAGTGTAATGGTTATATCACTGGACTCCCACATAATTGACTGTGATTTGAGTCCCAAACTGGTGACCTAAAAAAACTCATGCCAGGCACATGTATGTGAGTGTCCAAGATCCCAAGACAAGAATGTGGCAAAGGGATTGCTGTGTCACCATCCGCCTGGAGCCTGATTTCTAGCTTTCTCTCTATCTGTCTCTCCAGCCCTATAGCAAAAATCTCTCTCTCTCTCTCAAAAAAATAATATTTTCCTGGGACCAGCAGTTAGTGTAATGGCTATGTGGCTGAACTCCCAGTAGTCGACTGTGGTTCGTGTCCCGGACCCGGTGGCTTAAACTCATGCCAGGCATGTGTGAGTGCGTGCCCAAGACTCTGAGAGGAGAACGGAGGAGAAGGGATTGCGGCGTGGCCATCTCCCCTGGGGGGTGATTTCTCGTTTTCTGTCTCTATGCCTCTCTCTCTCTGTCTGGCGAGCGCACGCGCCCTATAGCAAAAACCTCTCCAAGAAAAAAAGTTATGATTAATGTAAATAGTTAATACAGTAGGAGTCATTGTTTCTTTTTCTTTCTTTCTTTCTTTTTTGAGAGGTCTTCGCTATAGGGCGCGTACGCTCGCCAGACAGAGAGAGAGAGGCATAGAGACAGAAAACGAGAAATCACCCCCCAGGGGAGATGGCCACGCCGCAATCCCTTCTCCTCCATTCTCCTCTCGGGGTCTTGGGCATGCATGCACACGCGCTCGGCGTGAGTTTAAGCCACCAGGTCCGGGACTTGAACCGCGGTCGGCTACGTGGGAGTCCAGCGACATGGCCATTACGCTAACTGCTGGTCCCAGAATCATTGTTTCTGACAATTCTGCACATGCTTATTTTTCTAGGGACTGCAGGTGAAACCTGGTATAGAGAGTTCTTGGATGTGGCGTCTTAATCTCTCCATAGCAGATAACAGAGGTCTTGGAGAGTCCAGTCTGAGCTTCCTTCCAAAAGTTTCCAGTAAATCAAATTTAAGAAGGCCTATCCAGGGACCAGCAGATGGCATAATTTTTTTCCAAAAGTATACATTAGTACTCCCTAGTTATTTACAGATAGGCACACAAACCTGCAACAGGCATGTTTTCATAACCGGGCTGTAACAGGTACAGGAAAGCCTTATTATCGGGCTGTTGGAAAAGTCATGGCATATTTTTTCTGGTTTTCTATGAAAAAATGCATCATGAATTTTCCAACAATCCCAAATAATGCAGGTGTGGGATTTATTCTTTCATTCTTCATTCTTCCCACCGAATACTAAAGAAAAATAAAAAGGCATAAGCATAGAGCTTTACAACAGAGTCCACAGACTCTGTGTTATCTTTTTATTAACAGTTTTTAAAAATTATCTCATTTAAGTTTATTCGTTTATTCATTTGTTTATTTTAATTTGACCAGCGAGGGACAGAAAGAGAGAGAAAGAGAAAGTGAGAAAGCAAGCCACCAGGTCTGGGACTTGAACCACAGTCGGCTATGTGGGAGTCCAGTGCCCCCAACCACCATGCCACCTGCTGGTCCCCAGACTCTTTGTTATCTTGCTGAGTTTATACTGTTTACTCCTTCCTTCATTCCTTCCTTCCTTCCTTCCTTCCTTCCTTCCTTCCTTCCTTCCTTCCTTCCTTTCTTCTTTCTTTAGTTGCCAGAGACAGAAGGGGGGGGTGAAAAATCACCTCCTGGGGGAGCTGGCTACACTGCAATCCCTTCTCCTCCATTCTCCTCTTGAGATTTTGGGCACACACACACAGGCACCTGGCATGGTTTCCAAGCCGCCAGGAGGAGGGCAGGACCTAGGACTCAAACCACTCTGTCAGCCATGTGGGATCCAGGCACAGTAACCAGCATGCCACCGACTGGCCTGATTTGTTTCCTTAAGTCTAATGGGCACTCTATGTTCATTATCCCAAATGATCTACAAGAATTTTGCAAAATAGTTGGTCAAACCATAGTGACTGTCTGAAAGACTACCCACAATTTCATTTCTACCAATGAAACAATTGACTATTCTATGACTAGCCATCTCCAAATCCCTTTGCTTCTTAACAATCTCTCTCCGTTGGTAAAAAAGGATGCTAAATAACCTCTCAGTTTTTCTTAAGGCCAGTGTCAATTTTCATGCCCATAAAGAAGAATAACGAGTCTAATTTTCTCTGCTTTGCCATCTGCTTTAGAGACTTAGTTTTAAGTCAACTTAAATATGAGGAGTGTTCATAAAGCTCATGGAGAATGCATACTATAAAAAAAATGCATGGATTCAAAAAAAAGTGTGCCAAAATGAAAAAGTACTTTAATTCCATTTTTCCATGAAAATGTTGAAGTCCCCTCGTATGCTTCTTTGTCTTATTTCTCTTCTCCACCTCCAACTCAATTAAACACACCGTATAAGATGTCTTCTGACCCTCTAGGATTTTAAAATGATCCATTCTTTCAACACCTATAGCAGTTATTTCCCAGATGATCTATTTGGCAAATCATCACAAGATGCTTTTTATTAAAATCCACAATTATTTAGAGTTTTTAAATTATATTTATATTTTCACAATGAATGGTAGGGCCCATGGGCAGAAATTACTTTTTTTAAAAAAAATTACATTCCTCAGAGTGCCTCTTGCTTAATGAAAAGTCAAGGAACTTTGTTCATTTGATTGAGCATTGAAGTTAATCTACCTTTTGCTTTTCTAAATGAAATGGTAGGTGTAAAATAAAAAATACCTAGTAGGAGTAGTTTTGGTTGGTCCTTACTCAACAGTAATTGAATATTCATTATCCGTATGCCCTAATGTCTTATGTAAATTTATCAGTGTTTTCTTTTTAGGCTGTGTGGAGACAGACTAAGTAGATGTTGGACAAACAGAAGGGTGATGTAGCATTATATGCAAATAGGTGTTGCATAGACATTACCCCTACTGTACGAAGGGCAATAGTGATTAGATTACTAGGTCCTTAAGAGGAGAGAGTTCTGATCTATTTTTATATATCTGACCCCAGTACCCAACACAGTGTCTGTGCCAATCACCCACTTATTTTCTCTCACTTCCAATCCACTCTTCTTTGCCTTGCTTTGTGATGTTGACAGGGGGACTGTCAACATTTCCCCCTGGGCTTTGTCACTAGGGGGCGCTGGAGAGGCACTGTGTGGTCACAGCAGGAGGAAGGGCTTTCTCTGCTCCATCTGCATCCCCTGGCAAGCTTCCAGAAGCAACCTTGACAGAGGAGGTTTCTCCTTTGTCACTTTCTCAGCCTGGGTGGACCAGCTGCTTCTGCGTTTGTTATTTCTGAGACTCTCAGAGTCCTTTTTATGCATTTCTGTAGTTAACTACCTTTTACTAGTACACAGTTTTCAGACATTCATTTACTGGTGTGGTCTCTCTGGTCTGACGAGAGCCTGACTGATACAGTGCCCGGTACCAAGTAGTTAATAAATGTGTGTTGAATGATGATGGCAGAATGAGTGTTCCTGAGATGAGGGCTCATAGTTCTGAGAATCTTAAAGCATTCTGTTTCAGAAAATCTTTTCTGAATGAGCCTTGGAGACTTTTTTTTTTTCCTATTCCTCATCTCTTTGAAAATTAAACCAAATTTTGCAGCTGTACTATACAGATTAAATATCCCTTATCTGAATGTTTGGGACCAAAAGTGTTTCAGATTTGGATTTTTTTTTTTCAAATTTTGGATTATTTGCCCATACATAAGCCAGCTTGGGATGTGACCCAAGTCTAACCACAAAATACATGTTTCACATGTACATTATACACACAGCCTAAAGGTAATTGTATACAATATTTTGTTTTGACTGTAACCTATCATATGAGGTCAGGTATGGAATTTTCCATTTCTGGCATCATATTGATCCTTTTTTTAAAATAATTATTTTATTTAGCTTTATTTATTTATTAATTTTTAAATTTGACTAGAGAGAGAGAAAAAAAGTGAGAAAGCAAGCCACCAGGTCCGGTTCTTGAACCATGGACAGCCATGTGGAAGTCCAGCACCCTTAGCCACCACGCCACTTGCCAGCCCCAATCTTGACAGATACTTTTAAAAAGTCTCATTTTAGAGCAGTTCAGATTTTCAGTTTTCAAAGTAGGGATGCTCAAGTGATAAGCATTTTCCCAAAAAATCATAGATGGAATTTTTTTTTTTCTCTGTAGGAACTCATTGTTGATTTTCTACCAAGATTCTCACCTTCAAAAACAAGAGGTGGGTGGTGATGGTATGGTGGGGGAAATAAGGCTACTCTTAATGACACCCCACACGTTCCCAAGGCAGTGTTTATAAAGAGGCTGATCCTTACTATTTTCCAGTCATGGGGTTGGTTGTCTCCCGGTGAATAGACATCAACTTTGCATACTCCATTTTGGCTTTGTAACCAGTCAACCCTATCCGTCATCTGGAAGTAGAAAAAAGGAGAATGAGTTATCAAAAGAACAGTACGGAGAGACAAAGTGAATGGCTGAGGTGTGGGAAATAGGAGTGATGCTCCCAGTAGAGACCTGTCTCAAGATCTACCTCAGATCTGCTCAAGTTGGGTAGTCACCCTCAGCTGTCAACCCTAGAACAATTTCTGAAACCTACTTGTATCTCTAGTGCCAAGACTAGAGCTGATATATGTGACAGGTGCTCAATACACAGTTGCTAAGTAAAAGGTCCAGGGACCGGCAGGTGGTGGTTAAGGATGCTGGACTCCCACATGGCTGACCGCGGTTCGAGTCCTGGACCTGGTGGCTTGCTTGCTCTCTCTCTCTCCCTCTCTCTGTGTGTGTCTCCCTGGTCAAATTAAAATAAATAAATAAAGTTAAATAAAATAATTCTTAAAAAAAAAAAAGGTCCTAGGCAGCCATGCCCGCTCTTCGTGTCCTTGTTCAACAGCCCTTCCCCCTCAGCCTGTGGGTTTTCAGTAGCTCAAAGCAGAATGAATTTATTTCTCTCTTGTTTGTTCTTGCCACACTCACTAACTTGTTAAGTAAGAGATGCTTTAATTTTTATTAATTTCTAGAGCACTAACTTACTCCCATCAGCACTAAGTCTGGTAGCTCTTAAGACCAGTTAGCCAAGGGTCCTGGGGGAATTCCCAGTCTCCATGGCATAGCCACGAATCTGGATGCCAGGAGGACAGAGCCATCCCATGCATCGTCCAGTGGACCTTGTCATCAGATGCGGGACGTCCTTACAGGTGTGGATTCCTCCCCAGAGCTCCCGCCTTGCTCCGCTCCCCAGTCTCAGTAATGGCACTACCTGGTCTTCCAAGACAGAAAGCAGATTGGTTTTAGGTGTCTTCTTCCATCCCAAATCTCTCTCTAGCTACTGTTTCTCTCTCCTCCCATTTGTAGCCATTTTCCCCTTAAACAAATGGCTTATACTTGCTGCTTTAATTGAGTCACACCACCACTGAGTATCACAGTCCCTGTTCATACTCTCTTTCAGCCTTTGGCCTTAGTCGTGTTCACTTTCCATGAGACCTCACCTAGCGGTCAAGACCATGGCCAATCACCATGATGCACAGTTACCTCCTGATTATCTGAAAGACTGAGAAGCTGCCGGACTTCCATCTCCAGGCCTCCACACTGAGGTTTCCTTTCTGTCATTATCAACTTGGTTCAGATCTACACTTCTCAGAAAGCATGGGGGAGGGGAACCAGCAGTTAGCGTAATGGCTATGTTGCTGGA